CGCTGGCCCGCGCCAGCCTGGCCCGCCACTGGCACACCACGAGGAGACCACGGACAACATGCCCATGAGACAAACCCAAAGGAGCCCAAAGGCCGTCTGTATCAGAGAGAGCTGAAAGGCGCTTCCCTCAGGGTACAGTCCTGCCACCTCTGGCCACAGAGGGACACTATTGGGAAATGTCCCTGGACCTAAGAGCCAGAACACTTTGTAGTGAAAGTCTGGAGAGGGGAACACCTTCATGAAGATGTAGATGGAACCTACATTCGCTGCAGGTGAGAGGGCAGGGTTCCACGCCTTAGGAGCAAGTCGGGGTCGGACCGTCACCCTCAGGAGAAGGCACCACTCCCGGCAGGACCCACGAGGTCCAGAGGTTCCACCGAGCTCTGAGTCGGGGTCTCACCTCACATTCGGGCATGCGGAGTAGTCTCCTGTGGGACAACTGATTGACCTCCCCGTCCCACACCCCCATCCTCGCCCTGTGACTGGACCTAGGACATTTCGGAATACTCCCCTTATCAACAGGGCATCACAGAGCTCCATGGAGCAGTGGCAGGAAGCCACGTGGGCACAAGGCTCGTGCCCATTCTGTGGCCCTGCCGACCCCATGCATCACCAGCTCAGCCTGGTCAGCTGTTGGTGCCGAGCTTCTGGGCAGGTGAGGACAATGTTAACACTCCCTGCTTCTCTGTCTGCCTTCAGGGGACATGGGTCCGGCCCATCTCCTGAAGTGGGTCCCCTGCCCCTGGAGGCCAAGACCGGAGACCCCTGCTGGGTCCTTCTGTGTGTCCCTGTGGGACCCATTCCTGTGCTCCTGGGGCGGGGCTCAAACCCCTCCTGAGACTTAAGACCTGTGGAGGGCTCGGGTGCCCATGAGGTTCAGGTCCTGAGTCCTCGGAATGGCAAGGGGCACAGGACAGATGGCTTCCCACGTCCCCTGCCCAGCTCTCTTGCACACTTTCAGGGGGTGGCCCGTGGGCAGCTCAGCAGTGTCATAGCCACAGCCCAGACCCAGGAGTCCCGCCTGTTTCCTCATCAGCATAAAGGCATAACCATTGCCCCTAAACTGGGGGCCCTGTGGGCACTGAGTTGAACTGTGGTATGAACAGGCCTCAGGATGGGGCTACCACGTGGTGATTCGTCTTCCTAAGCCACCTAAGGCCGTTTTCTCACCAGGGTCTCTGGGGTGCCGCATGCTGGGACAGTCTGTGACTTGGGGCGTGAGTCAGGAAGGTAGGTGCTGTTGGCACCCATGCAGTGCCTGAGGAGCCCATGGAGCTCTCCCATGGCTGGGGCTCGAGAGGCAGATCCAGAGAGGTCACCATCGTGCCCCATCAAGGGGCAATCACAGCAGCAGTAGACAAGCCGGACACAGGAGGGCTTCCACAAGCGCTGGATCCGCAGCAACGCAGCCTCGTAGGGAGGAGAGCAGCTATTTCCATGAGCCTGTCAAAGCTGTTTAGCTCCCCATTGCTCCAGAGAAGAGAATCTGTTATTTGTTCAAAATTAGGCTTCTTGAGGTAACTACAAAACCCCCGATACCAAGTCATACTAAAGCTCTACAGGAGGCTGGCCTGGCTCTTTGTAAGACAATAACAGGGCTTGTGTGCTCCAGAGCCGAAACCCGCAATCTCCTTGGTTTTCCTCCTGGGGAGCTGGACCATCACTGGGGCGACAGCCCTGATCGACAGCATCCATGCTGCATTCACTGCTGACCCAGTGGGGTGGGAAGTCTATCTGATGCCTGAGAGCCACCTCCCACCCCAGAGCCAACCACATCCAGCCTCCCTCTCCACACCAGCCCCTGGTTAGGAACATGACAGCTGCTGCTGCCCTGCAGCGCTGGTGGGCTGTGGACCACCCACAGGGCCCGGCTGCAGAGGTCAGAGGTGGAGAAGCCCCGAGCTCCAGATCTGCAAAGGCATGTTTAAACACCACCAAAGGCGGGTTCACGTGCTGCTTCATGCGTAAGGCCATGGTCTTCAGAATGCACATGCCAGAAACCCCAAAGCCTGGGCGAACACACGGCAGCACCCCACACGTCCTCCCCTGGGGAGCCAGGTGTGGTCCCCGGCCTGTCAGGCCAGAGCAGGCTCCTGGCAGCCCCTTCCAACCGGTGCTGCAGACTCCCTCCCCTGCCCAAGGCCTTGGCCCAGGGACTTCAGAGAGAGACCAGAGGTCTTGGAGTCTGCACTTCCCCAGGCACCCTGAGTTGCCAGTGAGCCACTGTCAGGGTTCACAATGAATGAGGACAGCAAGGTCCAGCTATTTCACCTGTCTTCTGGAACGTTCTGTCCATTTCATGTACTAAGCCTCCTTTGCCTAAGGCTCCTCAAGTGATGGAGTTGATGAAGCATTTAAAAAGTCAATCATTATCTATTAACACGTCCATGAGCATGAATGTCCCGCTCCCACAGGCCTGGAGATTTAGAAGCCAGAAATGTGGCCGGCCTTGTCTCCATGGGTGGCTGGAGCTGGGCCAGTGTCGGCGCACAAGGCTGAAGCCAGTGCTGGGAACAGGGACAAATAATTCCCACTGCCTGGGAGGCACAGCTACCTTGCCTTTAACTGCCCCCAGGGAGCCTGGCTGGCAGTGGGACGAGGGAGGCCAACTGAGTCTAGGACAGACTTCCAGGAATTGAGAAGCTGCCATGCAGGGGAGGAGACCCAGAGGTGGGTCTCTTAAGGAGACTTAAGGAGCTCTGCTGGGTGACAAACAGCAGCCCCCCATGCTCTCCAAGGGACTTGTCCAGATTCACGTTTCCAGTCCCTTTTCTTTCTAATGTTGCCACATGCTGTTGCAGCGAGCAGCAGCCCAGGCTTGTGGAGGGGAGTCTCTGAACTGGTTCAAGTGCCCTTCCCCCAAATGGACCTGAACAGGGCAGGCAGTGGTGGAAATATCAGCTCGACCCTCTGCAGCAGATCTCACTGTCTGCTCGGCTGCACAGGTCCCTCTTCTCTCCACTATCTCCATCACCAAGGCAAATATCTTCTGCCACAGGCCACCATGGATGACCCGAGGGGAACACTGACCGAGGTGGCACCAATCTGATTCCAGCTCTGAGAACAGGCCTGGAACCTAGCAGGAAAACAAGGCATCTGAAGACCAGGGAGAAATGAAACCACACCTCAGAGTTCCTGGGGCTTTGCAGCCCCAGCCCTGGCAGCTCCCCAGCCCTTGGATTAGGTCAGACCCCAACCCCACAACCTGCTATCCCCACATCCAGCTGTTGCAACCGATCATCGCATCACATGCAGACCTCAAGGCCCAAGACATCACCCACGGGTTGCCTGCAGCAGAGTCATGGCTGATGGGGGTCAGAGTTGGGGCACATCTTTACCCATAAGGGCCCCCACTTACCCCTAGGGAGTAGGCAGGATGCCTTACAGGCAAAAGGTGGCCTGCAGACATTAGCATGGCCACCTTGCTTGTGAGCCTGCTCAGGATGGATGTACATGGGTACTAAGAGTCTGCAGTTTTTTAACAGGTCTGCTGAGCAGTGAGGCTGACCAAGGGAAGGACGGGGACCCAAAGTTCAGCTAGACACCATGACAACACTGATGCAAACATCACAGCTCTGTAGGGTTTGGTAACCTGGAACTGCCCCTGCCCTCAGCCTTCCATAGCAATCCTTCTCCCACCCACTCAGAGCGCCATCAAGCCTTGGAGAATGGGAGCCCCAGCTTCCCTCTCCTAGGGGACCTCGGCTGACCACTGCTCTGGGCCTGCCAGCCGGCTCTAGCTGTTTCACTCTAGGAATTCTGTGTTTGCCTATCTCCATGCTGGGTTTGTGTTATAAACCTAGAAACCACGAAGGAGGTTAAAATGAAGCACAGTTTATTTGGGTGCACAATAGATTTGCAAATTGGGACAACAAAGATCAGCTAGACACTAAGCCACCCTCTGCGGAGCGTAAGCAGGATCCAGGCTTCATCACAAAAAGAAGCCATGCCTTGCGGAATATGAACAGGAACGAGGTAAATCCAGAGGTTGGAGATTGATTTAAAAAAAAAAAAAAAACAGGATGCTATAAATTCTGCAAGTCTGTTAGAGGTCAAGAGGCCACCGGGCCACTCTAGTTTTTCTCAATTGCAAAGTATCATTAGATTCTGAAAAAGCGTTCTCCTTGGAGCCTCTGCCCGCGACACTAGGTCTGTGTGGCCAACTGCCTGTCAGAAGAGCCCCCACGGCTCAGAAGGGATCTCTGCTCTTCTTCAGGCCACACTGCAGCCATTCTTATTTTCGTCCCCAACATCGTTAACCGCCGCCCGCACTCAACAACTCGGGCGACTGACCTCGGTCCCCTGTCTGTCTGGGGCCTGGGGACCGAACCCGGGGCGCTCTACCACTGAGACACCTCCTGGCCCTTTTTATTTCGAGACAGGGTCTAAGTTGCCAGGCTGGCCTTGAACTTGGGATCCTCCTGCCTCAGCCTCCCGAGTCGCTGGGCTCCCAGGCGTGACCTCCGCGCCGGGCTCGCTCTTAACTTCCTGAAGGAATCTCGGACGCAGAGAAGGTCCGCGAGGTCAGCAGCAGCCTCCTGTGTGGCCTCCTTCCAGTGTCCTCGCGCCACGCTCTGCACGTCGTGAGGGTCAGCTTGAAAGCCTGGCCCCAGGTCCCCGCCTCGGCCGCCGTCCCCGTCCCCCAGGCCGTAGTCCGAGGACCCGACGGCCGAACAGTCCCGGCCCCGCGCACCAGCAAGCGCCTGGACTCCGGGGCACGCCGGGAGGCCGGCGCAGGTGAGTGACGTCCCCGACGCGACCCCGACGTGCGGACGCGCGTGCGTGCGCCGGCAGCGGCCGAGTCCCCGCTCCCAGGGGGCCGCGCGCGCGTCCACTTCCGGCAGCGGCGCTTAGCCCGGAAGCGGCGGCCGGCGAATCCTGCGGCGCCAGGTGTGGGCGGCGGGAGTATGCGGGGCGGCCGGAGGCCCGCGCGCGGCGCGTTCGTTCCCCCGCGATAGTGGCGGCGGCGCGCGGCGGCTCTCGCGTGAGCGGCGGCCGGCTGCGGGGACGGCGGGGCGGCGCGCTCGGGCCGCGGGCGGCGGCGCCATGTGGAGCGGCCGCAGCTCCTTCACCAGCCTGGTGGTGGGCGTGTTCGTGGTGTACGTAGTGCACACCTGCTGGGTCATGTACGGCATCGTCTACACCCGCCCGTGCGCCGGCGACGCCAACTGCATCCAGCCCTACCTGGCGCGGCGGCCCAAGCTGCAGGTGAGCCGGGCCGAGCGGGGCCCCTCCGGATTGTCCCAGTGCCCCGCCGGGGTGGGGCGCGGGCTCCAGGCCCTGTCCCCTGGTATCACAGCCCGGTGTCCTGGTGCAGCCCCATTGAGAGCCGGAGTGGAGCTCCTTCCTGGCCTGTCCTTCCGGGGTCTCCATGTGCCGCCCCCTGGTCGCTGGTGCCGGTGCCTGCTGTCCTGCAGTGGTGCTTCTGGTGTCACCCCACTCAGACACCCTGTGGGTCTCCTAGCCTGTGGGTCTCCAGCCACTCTTGGGCATTGACGTTATTTTCTTTACAAAGACACGTTCTGCACTTGCACCCTGACCAGGCAGGAGTTCTGTCTTCTAGGAGGTAACCTGTCAGATTGCCTGCTCTCCGCAGCTCAGTTATGTTTTTTGCCAAGGGCCCTACAGACTAACTTTCTTGTCACCCTTTTCCAGCTGAGTGTTTACACCACCACAAGGTCCAGCCTTGGTGCAGAAAACAATGTGGACCTCGTCTTGAATGTGGAAGACTTTGATGTGGAGTCCAAGTTTGAAAGGTGTGTGGCACAGATGCTGCAGGGGTTGGTGTTGTGTGCATAATGAGACTAACTCAGAAACACAGTCTTGCTGGTATCTTCAAAACTATGGAACACATGAAAACATTCAAACCAAAAGTAGCAGATGGAGCTTATCCCATGTCTAATGCAGTGAGCAGCAGTCAGGGGAGTCTCCAGAGGAGCAGGTGTCCACCTAGTGGAAGTAGGGAAAAGAGACAGGGTGGAGGAAAGAGCTGTACAGGAATCTAAGTGACCCTAAGTCAGTGAAACTGTCCACCTATACAGTGGAGCTTTTTAAATTTAACATGCAGTCTGGCAATTGATACATAGTACAGATGTAAAAGTCCAACTTTTATGTTGTAACTTTTAAAATGATTTGCTCCTAAGATTCTGCCGTTCTTGTCTGCACCGCCTAGAAGGTAATGGATGTTTTCTAACCAGCCAGTGTCCTCAGATAGCTCGAGGGTTTCGTGTGAAGAAGACCATCATAGGTCAGGCCCACATGCTGTCACCTGTATGTAGCCCACCACCTCAGGCGAGTTACAGACCTCCCTGAGTCTTGTGAAGCAGAGGCAGGAAGTGCCGGCTCCTTCACCTTCAGTTGGAGCTGCCCACTTTTTAAAATACTCAGGTCATGTCTGTGTTGGGTTTAGTTTCACAGATATGGACACTGCCATTGTGCCAGTTATCAAAAGGCAGGTAGTGAGGGTTTTAATTTCTGAGCTTGGCAAAAGGAGAAGAGTCTGAAACGGACTCCCATCGCCGCCTCTGAGCTTTGCTCAGGAGTGTGCATTCACCCGAAATGTCCCTGTGAAGGAGGGGCCTAAAGCCCAGCCCACTGACAGGAAAGCCACTCAGAGATGTCCTGGTAGAGATCTTTTGTTGACATGGTAGCAAGGCATCCTCTGTTCCTGTATTTCTTCTAATAACAGGAATTACTTAGAACTTTGGCCCCAAGATTTGTAAAAGAAACCAGGAAGGTCTATTGTGATAAGTAGTATGTGTGGGTTTCATGGGAGTCCAATGTGGTGTTTGAGCTGTGATATGCAGGTGAAGAGCTGGGCACCTGGGCCAAGGCCAGGGAAGCACACCGCCAGTGAGATCTCCATCTGGCTTGAGAGTCAGAGCTGGTAAGAGGCCTGAAAGTCTGTCTTATGGCTAATCTCTTCTTCAAAAAATGCAGCAAAACCAAATAACTACCCACATGAAATGTTTCTGAGCTTTCCTTATAGTGCCAAAGAAGCACTTCTAGATTTGTGGTTATTGTACTTGGTTTGTGAGACCGGGCCTGGACTTTGCCTCTGTGACTCTGGAGTCATGTTATCTTAGAGGGCTGTAGAAATCAGCTGGTCTGTTGCCAGGCCAAGTACCAGTTGCCACCTGGCCTCTCAAGTGAGTTACTGTCCTTTCTGAGCCTCATGAAATGGAGGTAGAGAGTGCCAGCTCGTTCACCTTCAGTAGTAGCCACCCACACTTTGCAAAATGCTCAGGACACGTCTGCATTCAGGGCTCAGTTAAGTCAGGAGCAGGTGAGTTTCGTTTTCAGTAGTTCTGAAACAAAATTAGTTGATGTGAAACACATTATCTCTAAAGGCATCTTGAGTAGGCTCCATGTGAGTGTAAACACAGCAACACACAGATTTGAAATGACCGTTTGTTTTGTTCCAGGACAGTTAATGTTTCTGTACCAAAGAAAACAAGAAATAATGGGACACTGTATGCCTATATTTTCCTGCATCACGCTGGGATTCTGCCTTGGCATGACGGGAAGCAGGTCCACCTGGTCAGTCCTCTGACTACATACATGATCCCCAAACCAGAAGAAGTCAACCTACTCACTGGGGAGTCAGCTGCACAGGTGAGGGTCTTCACAAATGACTGACAGCAAGCCTGTGCCTCCTGCTCAGTGTGTGTGCGCTTGAGTCTGCAGAGCAGCTTCCATCTAGAGCCGTGGTGACTGTTGGAAAGTAAAGCACTATAAGTAAATGGTCTTTCATCTGAATCGTTTCCCTGGGTTTTCAGATAAATTTTATATCAAACTGAGGACATGCAGTGGAAGTGATCCCTAATATTCTTTGTACTCAGAGTCCCTCTTAGGCCATGGGCCCCCTGTGTCCCCTCCCACTGGAGGTTTGGGAGGCCATCTTTCAGAGCTTGCCTATACCTCTGTCTTCAGGAGTCACCATTTACGGTTCTATTCAAATTGTGCTGCTTATGGGACCAGACATATATGTTAAGCTTATAATTCAAAACTATAGGAAAAGTACAGGCACAAGTTACATTTTTTCACCTGTAGAAAGCCATATATGCCAAGAAAAACTAGATATCACCCACTTGATGACTGATAAGGCCATGGATACAGCAAGGGAAGTGTGACACACAGGCTCCTGTTGAGTAGAGGAGAGACGACTCACAAAACAAGAAAGACAGCATCTGTTAGGAAACGGCTATGGGGGTGTCCCGGCACAGAGAGGCGGAGCATCTCAGGGTGAAGGGCAAGGTTCGAAAGCCCTTCCTGCTTTGTTCTTGACCTTATATGCAGAACCTTCATGTCCTCCTCATGGGGTTGGTGGCCCTCTTGGGGCATCTTAGGGAGTCCATGAGCCATGGGTATGGAGTGGCCTTGGGAATTCTATAGCGAATGCTGAATGAATGTAGGCTGTTACAACTTGGAAGACCATTTTCAACGTAAAATATTATGGGTCAACTATTGTTTGGAAGAAAATAAGATGAATTTATGCTTCGTGAATTTATTAGCTGGGTCTGAGATAAAGTTACGATGTTCCCATGGCTCAGTTTCCTTCTGAGTATATTTAGAGTAGTTGCTGATCCTCAGCACATCTTCAGACAGCTCCTGTTGGCTTGGCAGCTTCTCCTTCGCAATGTCCTTGAAGCCCACAGGGCCATGTTAGCTGCAGACCTACACTGCAACTGGGTCTGCCCCCACAGGATCTGTCCCATCAGGATTGTAGGAGTGGCCCCCGCTTAGCCTGAGGACCCCAAAGGTGGAGTCACTGGGATCCTTGACTGCATGACCATTGGGAAGGAGGGAGGGTGTGGTCAGAGCAGTCCATGGTCCCCAGGCCCCCCACTGGGTTCTCCTTCCGATTGTGCCAGTCTGGACAACTACTCTTGGGGTGGAGACACTGACTACCCAGCTGCCCTGGGCCTGCCTCAGCCTGGCCTCTGTTTCTCTCATTTTAGCAACAGATCGAATCCGAGAGGAAGCCGTCAAGTGCCCTGGACGAGCCTGTCTCTCACTGGAGACCCAGGCTGACGCTGAACGTGATGGTGGATGACTTTGTCTTTGACGGCTCCTCCCTGCCTGCTGATGTGCACCGGTACATGAAGATGTAAGTGTTGTGTGGGACCTGGTGAGGGAAATTGCTGCTGGACAGACCGTAAGCTGGGACCCCCGCAACGGGGAGTGGGCTGCCCCTGTCCCTGTGCAGAGTCATCGATGCTGCCTTCCACCCCTAGCTCCTTGCCCAGCTCTTGGAGGTCACTTGATCAGTATTGCCCAAAAGGATGGGGCGAGGGCAGATCCCAGCTGGCTCACTCTGCCATTGCCCTCTGCAGAGGTATCCGTGGGTAGAGATGGGAAGCAGCAGTGAGGGCCGACTGCCCTGTGTCCCTGGCTTTATGCACTTGTGCACCTGCTGGCCGGGAGTTGCACAGGCTTTGTAACTCAGCTAGTTCAAACTTATTAAAAATTCACCTGCGGCTGTGACTTGGGTGTCGCTCGCTTTGGTCAGCTCGCTCTCACTTGCACTGGGGGCCACAGGGGGCGTCTGAGGGGCTGAGCTGTGTGGGTCCACTGTTCTCATAAGTAATGGCCGTACGGTAGTCATAGGGCTTTTATGCTCTTCAAGACTTGTCTTATTTTTGAACACGTCATTTGTGTACCTGGTTCGCAGAGAGGGTCGCCTGACGCAAAACCCCTGCAGCCATCAGCCTCCCCACGTGGCAGCCCAGCACAGATGTAGGTCGTCTCCTTCCAGGTCCCCTAGCACACAGGTGTCATCTTTCTCCTTCTGCCTCATGGGTTCACCGTGTCATCACACCAAGTGGTCCTTGGCCTGTGTGTGACTGTCCCCATTAGTGGCCTCGTGGGGCTTACCACGTGGCTGTCACTATCATCCTACCCCCGTAGCATCTGCTTCTGTTTGAAAAAGCTGTATCTTGGAGTTTCAGTGAGGGTACATTCAAGGCCAGTGCTGGGTGGGGGACCTCAGGGAGCCTGGTCCCCAGGGTGCAGATACCCACACTGACCAGGACACCCTCCACCACCAGGGTCCAGCTGGGAAAGACCGTGCACTACCTCCCCATCCTGTTCATCGACCAGCTGAGCAACCGGGTGAAGGATCTGATGGTGAGCCCTGCTCTCTTCTTGCCTTGCAGCTGCTGTTCATGATCCACCAGGGAACCAGGCAAGACCTGGGTCCCGGGTCCAGAGCATGTGCTGGGGTGAAGCACTCGGGACCTGGCTTGCTGGTGGCTGGCACTGGGTCCCCTGGGCATCCTGGCTCACTGGTGAGGCCTTTTGTTAAGGGTTTAGGTGGTAGCACTCAGAAGTCTGTTTGAAAAGCTGTGTGTCTGTTCTTCACATGAGGCCTGGTTTCATTCAGAAGCATCTGCCAGACTCCCCTCCCCAGGGCTGGTCCTGCAGCCTGGCCAGAGGAGTGTCCACCTGGGAGGAAGCCACTACTACTGTGGTGGCTGTGGGCAAGACTGAGATGCCCTTGGAGGTGGAGAAATGGCTGCTGGTGGGCCTGGTGCCCGTCATAACAGGCAGTAAGGGCACTCTTCTCTTCTCCCAAAGATAACAGGTTTGTTTTGAGAATGGGAAAAAAAACATAGCCAACCTTTGGTGATAGGGGAATGGCTGCTCCCTCCATCCAAGGCTGCCCGCACCTCTAACAGTCCTGCCACCAGGAGCCGCGCGCCATAGTCCTGATTCACAGTGAAGTTACTCAGGGTTAGAACATGGGGCTGGGATTGTGAGTGAGCTGCCCTGCCTGCCTCTCCTGGGGCTGTAGCCATTGCTCGTGAGCCCTAGATAGGAGCCAGAGCCGGTTGCCACGCAAGCCTTCAGTAACTCTGGAGTGAGCCCTTCCCCTGCACAGATGAGGATGCTGAGGCTTGCAAAGTGGGTGGCTTGCCACAGTGTGTCCTGACCCCGCCTGGATTCTGCTGCTAGCTGCAGCTCAAGATGTCAGGCCCTCTGTATGGCTTTGCTCAGACCCTAAGGTCCCAAGGCAGTGTCCTCTGCTCCCTGGGGTGCTGACTGCCTCCATGACATGAAGGCTGGGGCTGGGGGGCAGATGTGCTAGCAAGCAGATCTGATTGGTTCCCATCCCACCTTTCCCAGACTTGGTTTCTGCTGAAACACAGACAGTACTTTGTAAACCATGAGGGCAGCCTGTGGTCACCTGTCATGGCCCAGTGGTGCTGGCTCCTCAGAGGCCCTTGGGAAGCAATGCCTGGTGACTGCATTGCTACAGGCGATGCCCTCGTGTCTGTTCACAGGTCCATCTAGGTAGAGGACCAACATCTGCAGCACACTCATGTTGTAATGGTTGGTCATATTGCAGTAGTCCCGTGTTACGTGTTGTGGGAAAGGTCCTGTTGGGACAGGAGCACGGGTGTGCAAGCAGCTGGTCTCCACCGCAGCACCCTCTCATGTCATTTTCTGCATCTCACATGAGCCACTTCTCAAAGGAATGACATCCTGGGAGGGCAGCTAAGCCTGTCGGGTGCTGCAGCCCATGGCATCCCTGGGACAGGCCTGGTAGCTTGAGGGAGCTAGAGGCTTGCCACACGCTTGCAGAAGGTGCCTGTGCTCTGAAATGCCCAGCTTCTGGCTGCTGCGCCAGGGTGCACAGGTGTGGGCAGGTGCATCAGATAGTGTGGTGCTTGTGTGCATGTGGTCACAGCTGTGCATGCTGCAGGTATGGGTCAAGTGCTTCATTTCCTATAGCTTCCACCATCCCACACAGCCAAAGTCTAGGCTTAAGAGTTTCCCTGTGCATCTTGGGCTCTTTTAGGACAGGGCTAAGGCCCCTTGGGTGGTGCTCATGCCTGTTCTGCAGCTCAGCTTCGAGCCTAGTGGGCTCCTGATAGATGCTAGTGGTGAATCCCATCCAAGGCATTGGAGCTTGTGTGGCTCAGAAAAACAGGAAGTGCATGTGGAATGGGTGGGCCGTGCCAGGAGGCTCTCAGGACTCCTGGGGATGTGGATAGGAGCACGCCTGGGGCTTAGGGTGTGGAGAGAACAGGAGCATTGCATTTGGGAGGAGCTGTGAGCAGGCAGCATGGTGGGCATCTGTGCTGCCTTAGGACAGGCCTGGGAAAGACTCCTATGTGCACTAAAGGCCCAGGACAAGGAGCAAGCTCTGGAGCAGGTGCTCCTGCAGGACCTGCTGCAGCTAATGAGATGTAAGAGGTGGCCCAGAGTCCCCATGTGTCACGGCCCTAGCTGTGCGGGGACTGGAGGTAAGGATTGTCAGGGGTGTCAGCTGTGGTGAAGGTGTGCACAACTCAGGTGCTCCTGGAGGCTCACAGCAATGCCCTTGGTCACAGTCGGGTGGGTGCTCATCTGTGGACCTCTCGGTGGCAGGTCATAAACCGCTCCACCACGGAGCTGCCACTCACTGTGTCCTATGACAAGATCTCGCTGGGGCGGCTACGCTTCTGGATCCACATGCAAGATGCCGTCTATTCCCTGCAACAGTTCGGTGGGTGCCTGTGGGTCCTGGGCTGGCTGGGCCGGGCTGGGGTGTTTGGTGGTGGGAGCCCTGCTTGGGCTCCGTGTATCCATGGAGGATTTGTGGGCATCCTGCAGCTGCCCCAGTGCAGCGCTGCCTCACCCTTCCTGGTGTGGCTCACTCTGTGTCCTTGCTGCCAGAACTGGCCAGCACCTCCTCACCATGTTGAAAGTGACCTGGGTTGTTCAGGACCCAGTGTTTTGAGTGCCATTGTCCCAGAGGCACTCGCACTGCCAAGGTGGGGTTGTGGGAGCACAGAGCTGCCTTAGTGGCTGGGGTGGGGCGGTGCTCTGGCATCACGGTGCGTTTCTTCCCTACAGGGTTTTCAGAGAAGGACGCTGATGAGGTGAAGGGGATTTTTGTAGACACCAACTTGTATTTTTTGGCCTTGACCTTCTTTGTTGCCGCATTTCATGTGAGTCGTCACCTGGTGCTTGTTGGGGAGTGACAGAGAAGGCGGGGTGCTCATGGGCACTGCCCAGCCCATGGCCACCTCTTATGTCGGCCAGCAGTCAGCATGCCCGAGTGTTGGTGTCCCGATGGCCTCTCTCAAGCTCAGGAAGTGTATGCTGTCCGCAGCCTGAGGGATGCTGGGCATTAGCTGCTTTGGAGACATTTTGCAAAAGAAATGCCAAAATGCTTTGAGCAGTGCCTGTATTAGTAGGGTTAGTTAGGGACCTTGTAAAGTAGCATTTTTCACCACATAGTCGTGTGTGATGATTTTCAGGTTTAAAAGTTCGTTCTGTGCCTGTAGTCGGGTTTTGTACAGGGAGTCTGAGAGCTGCCAGAAAGCCATGCCACGGGGCAGTCACAGTTGGGATAGGGGACAAGGAGGTACCTCTGAGTGCCAGCCAGGCCAGAACTTCTAAGTCAAGATGAGAAAGTAAATGTCACTTTTATTAAAGAGTCAGTGGCTGAGAACAAGCTGGTGTTTTCTGCACAGACCAGGAGCCACTTTCCTGGGTAATGGTGGTGGCCCAGAACAGCAAGGACTCCAGCTGGCCTCACCCCTTGGGCACCCCAGACTTCAGCATAGGAGAGAGGCACCACAATGCCTAGACATGCTCCCCGCCATTTGACTCAGACCCATGTTTGGCGAATGCTGTGGTGAAGCCCCCTTCCAGGTTCCTTGGCTCGGGCACATGGAGCCAGTGTGGGTGGTTTCTGCAGGGCACAGGCGTGTCTTGATCAGCCCGAAGCTTGGGCCCAGGGTTCTACAGTACAGGGGCTGAAGGGGCAACTCGGTGCAGGTGACTCTTGTCTGTTCTTTACAGCTGCTCTTTGATTTCCTGGCATTTAAAAATGACATCAGTTTCTGGAAGAAAAAGAAGAGTATGATTGGAATGTCCACCAAAGCAGGTAGGCCAGGAGCGGGTCTACCTGCTCACAGGCACACTCTGCTCCCATGAGGCCTGCAGCTCACGCCCATGACAGTGTTTGTCTGGTTGACTGAGATGCCTCTTAGATCAGGCAGCCCAAACCCTGGCAGTGTCTCAGTGGTCATTGAGCATCTAGGAAACCTGGGAATACCACAGAAGAGAGGGCCACTGAGGCCACAGGCAGGGAGCTGGTCTGATCTTGGGCTGGTGGAGGACGAGTCTCCTGGACTTCTGGTTGCTTCTGGGTGTGGGTATGGGGCCAGAACCTTACACCCCTACCTTGGTGAGCAGCATCATCTCTGACCTTCCAGGAGAGGCCGTGGCTGGCCAGTCCCAGTTGGTTAGGAGTTGGGTGTGGCTGCCGGAATCAGACTAAAGCGAGTCTCTCAAACATAAAAAGCAAGTTTTTTCTTTTTTCCAAACATAAAAGGTAGGGTTTTTCCGCATGAGTACCCGGATAGCCCTACACAGTCACCAAATCTCCTAGGAAGGAGGGGCCTGCTGTTGAGCCCAAAGTGGCTGTGGCCCTGTCCAGGGTGTCTGCAGCCCTTCAGGTCACCAGGCACCCACAGAAGGCAGAACAAGCTAGAGTTGTTTTCATAGCACAACTCATGAAGGGGAAAATACAGCTTTGTCAGAGAAACAGACTTGTCACAGAAAGCAGAGAGTGAAGTGGGGTGCAAGAGAGAGTGAGCATCCCAGTCCTGGGCTCTGGTCTCGCACCCTGTCGCATTCACACCTGTGCCTGCGGATGTCACTCACACGTGCACCTAGCTGGGTGTAGTTCTGTGGCCTCCAGTAAATTTTTTTTTTTACCTTTCTTTTATTTATTTTCATGTGGTGCTGAAGATCAAACCCAGAGCCTCACACGTGCGAGGCAAGTGCTCTGCCACTGAGCCCCAGCCCCAGCCCCTCTAGAAATCTTTTTAGAATGTTTCCCAGAATGGAGTAATTGTGCACTGTTGGTTTTCTTTCTGTGAGTCACGGGTGTGCAGCACGCGTGTTGCTGGGGTGGAGCCTTAGGGCCTCCTGCACCCTGGGCAGGAGCTTGGCTGCCAAGCTACCTGGACGAGGGGGGCATTCAAAGCTGTGTGGGCGGGTGGGTGACAAGCGGGGTCTGTGCCAGTGGGCTTGGCACTGCCTTACTGTAGCTACCGTGTCCCCAGTACTGTGGCGCTGCTTCAGCACCGTGGTCATCTTCCTGTTCCTGCTGGACGAGCAGACAAGCCTGCTGGTGCTGGTCCCAGCAGGCCTCGGGGCCGCCATCGAGGTGAGTCTGGCACCGCTTGGCTCTGGGCGGACGCTGGGGCTTGTGGGAGGCCCACAGACTTCAGTGTATGGTCAGGCGCCTGATTCTGACCCACAAGGCTCCCCAAGGACCCGCACACCTGCCCTGAGGACTGGCGGGCTCGCCCAAGCAGGCTGTGTGTTGTAGAAATGCCTGGGTGTGGGGGCAGTCCGGCGAAATGCAGGGAATGCCGTCTCTGGCACAGACTTGTGCAGTGGCGTCCGCCAGGCAGGACTGTGTCGGCATACTTGATGAGCTGAGCTGCAAGACATTCGTGTGGCCTCAAGGAGTTTGAGGTTCGGCTGGGATTTGAGACAGGATGGCCATGTGGAGAGTAGCTCAAGTGTGGGTCACCTGTGGTTTAGCCCTGTTGGTCAGCAGAGGAGCTCTGTGGGAAGGGGCCGTGAAAAAGTTGCTGGGCTGGGCACAGGGAGAAGACCCAGGTGGCCCTGTTTTGAGAAGCCAGGCCGTCAGAGTAGGCAGCCCCCTGTGGGCCTGGCTCATGTGGCTGCGGATACTTGCTGAGGGGTCATAGCCTCCAAGACACCAGAGCTTCACGGGCAGTGACCACCCCATCACGTGTGGAAGCCCACCCCGACATGCTGGGCCTGACCTCAGTAAGTGATGTTGGCCCAGGTTGTAGTAAGGGTGTCCAGGAGGGAATGTGTCCAGGGAGGTCCAAGGACAGGCTCAAGTGGCATCTTTCTTAGTCGGCTTCGCAGTGGCTGCAGGTCCACCTGGCAGACAGATGCAGACCCCGTGAGAGGTGGAGGGAGGGGGAGCTGCAGGCAGGCAGAGGTGGGGTGGGCTGAGAAACTGCACCGTGAGCGCCAGGTCCCATCCCGTCGCGTTCCCGCACATTGGCTCTGGCATCTCAGAATTGTGAATGGGCAGCATTTCGTTTTCTCCCCACAGCTTTGGAAAGTGAAAAAGGCCTTGAAGATGACGGTGGCCTGGAGAGGCTTGAGGCCTGAGTTCCAGGTGAGATCCCCAGCTAGCTGGCTGCCCCAAGTCGCCTCCTCTGCTTCCTCCCTGCTCCTCACGCTCAGCAGGCTGGCCTCTGTGGGTTACGTGCCCATCACAGCTCAGCTCTCGGAAGACAGGTTGTCGTGGGGTGGGCACTCAGACCCCAGCTGATGGCCTCCTGGGCAGGGCTCAGGTTGGCTTCTGCATGAGTTGCTATTTTTCTTCCCTAAAGATTCCTTGGTCAGGAAACTTAGTGTCAGCCTCGTTAAAAGCAGGGCCACACCTCCATCCCTGAGCAAGCCTGCAGGAAGGGACATGCTGGTCTGCAGGGCTCAAATGCTCTTGCGTTCCCGGTTGTCATGCATTCCCATGCTGCCCAGACCCAGGCCAGATATTGACCAGTCTCCTGGGGACGTGGTGCATGAGTGAAGTCTGTGCTGATGGCACTGTGCTCTGTGGTGGACCTTGACCGCCTTGGCCCTCAGAAATCACATGGCCCTGCTCCAGGCTGAGACGGGCTGATGTCTCCCATGTAGCCCAGTGGCTTCTCCACCTTCCCTGGCTAGAGTGTCAGTGAACTCAGCAGCTCTGGGAGTGGGAAGCAGCCCAAGAAGCTCCAAAGGTGGCCTGCACAGTCCGGGCCAGCCATGCATGCAGTCCCAGTCCTGTCCCCATCAGCCTGGACTGGGGTCTGTTGTGGTGCTGTTGAGGCTCACTGGCTGGATTGAGGGTGTGCCGTGGCCATGAGACCTTTCACGGCTCCATTCTGGCCTGTGCCAGACGTCCTTGCTGAGTCAGGTAAAGTGTTGTATTTGACTTTCAACAGTTTGGCACCTACAGTGACTCTGAGAGGAAGACCGAGGAATACGATACGCAGGTAAGCCCGAGGGCTCGGCAGGGCATTCGAATGCCTGGCAGACGGTCTGTAACCCTGGGCACTGGGGCCCTCATGAACTGACCTGTGGGGAGTGGTCTCCTGGGAGGGTCTGCATTTCTAACCGGGGAAGGAGGGCCTCACAAGAACTGCCCAGCTCCCAGCCCTTGCAGGTACTTTCCCACCTCTGCAGCTGGGAAGGTCATCCACGGGATTGTCCCACTAGCAGCTCGTTTCTGCATGGCTGCTGGGGAGCTGGAGGTGGCAGATCTAACGGGCATTTCTGCACAGAAACGGTTTTAGTTTTCTGTTTTAATATTCACCAGCATACGTTTCAATTTTTATAGAGGTTATAAGAGCTCAATTCAGAAAAGTACACTTGGTGACAAGACTGTGTCACGTCGCCAGCAGCCTCAGCGGGGCTCTCAGGAGTCTGGACTCCTTCCTTGTGCTCACAGTCCTCCGTGGGTCTGTGCGTTGGTCCTGCATCAGAACCAGGAGGCTCTGCTCAGGACCGCTTGGAGTCACAGGTCCTGTGGTATTGGCAGAGGCATGGTAACGCGTACCCACCTTTGCCAATCAGTGGAGCCCCTGCCCTAAAGTTGTGGTGACATGTCCACAGAGGCATCTGAGGCATGGCTTGGTCACTGGGAGTTTCCTTTGTCCCTTACAGGCCATGAAGTACCTGTCATACCTGCTGTACCCCCTCTGCATTGGGGGCGCCGTCTACTCACTCCTGAACATCAAGTACAAAAGGTGGGGTGCTGTATTTCCCTGCCAGACAACCTGCACTGAGTCCTGGGCTGAGAGCCACGTGCCTGGTGGCAAGCTTCCTGTCCATCCCCAGTGCTGGGCCAGTCGGCTCTGGCCTCCTCTCCTCTGTAATGTAGGGATGTCAGGACCCGCCCCCCCGCCCCAGGGTCCTGAGTGCTCATGGGGAGCGGGTCCTAGAAATGCAGGCACAGCCTGGGCTGCAAGGCTGAGGCGTCCCTCGCTCCTACACCCCAGGCAGTGGGCACAGCTGTACCTTCCAGCCCAGGAAGTGAGGCATTCCCTGCCATAGCAGCACTGTTGAGGGCAGAGGTGGGAGGGTTTGGGAGTTCCCCAAACCAGTCACACAGCTGCTTTGCTGGACGTGAGCTTGCAGAGGGGCTGGGCCAAGTGGGGTGGGACCATGGTGAGACCCTGGCCAGGGACGGTGTGTGCAGAGCTCTGAGTGGGCAGCTGGTTGTGCAGGCCCTGGAAGTCTTGTAGGAATGGGATATGCAGAGTAGCCTCTCCTATACCTGAGCCTGCATTTGGGTGAAGAGGGTTTTGTTTGCAGAGACCCTTTGGTCTGACCAGGCTCCTAGGAAGGGTTAGGATTTGATGAGGAACACGTAGGGAGCACTTGGCCTCCCTGGGTCATCAGGGCCTGGTACTGCCTCTTGAACCACCCCACTTATCACAGATGCCCACACGCGTTTTGGTATTTATGAGAGGGTTGTCAAGGAAAGTGGTTTTTTTGTCAAGTTACCACACTTTCCGTGGCGCCGATCACGATCCTTCCTTTCTCTTGCAGTTGGTATTCTTGGCTAATCAACAGCTTCGTGAATGGTGAGTTCCTGTTTCCCATTCCAATAACAATATTTATAGCAGGTGCTACTTTTCTTGCTCCTGCCTGTGACCCAGTGTGACAGGCACCACATCTGTTCAGGCAACTCTGCAGCGGCCAGTGCTCTGCTGTGCCTAAGTTGGGCGTCACGGCTCCCCTGGACTTGCAACCTCAAGCAGATGGCCTGTTATCCCTTCTGTGTGGAAATGAGAAAGCAGGTGTCCAGAGCACCAACACCCTGCAGCCCGTGTGCTGCGCCAAGCTCAGGGGTGGTCCTCCTGTCTCGGGGGCTGCCTTGTGCATCCTGCCTGCCCCCGACCAGCCCTGGTTGCAGCTGGGATTCCTTGCAGGGCACTTTGCCTGCCATGCTCCCAGGTTGTGGGCCCCACGGGGCCTTGTCCTCACGGCCCCCAGACACCCCAGCACCTGCATTTTCTTGGTCCCTGTGGGCAGAATTTCAGGGCCACCAGTCCAGAGCATCTTGCTTGGCTTTTGGCGAGTTTGCCAGCCAGCAGGTGCGTATCTGTCACCTGGCTGACAGGCTGTCTGGGCACAGTGGGCAGAAGGGGTGCGGACCCTCTGAGCTCAGCTCTGTTCCCACAGGCGTCTACGCTTTCGGCTTCCTCTTCATGCTGCCCCAGCTCTTTGTGAACTACAAGGTGAGGCCTGCCTGCGTCCTCTACGTAGGTCTGTCTTCTGCTGCCCCTGACTGACCTTGGTCGTCTCTCTGTTGCAGATGAAGTCTGTGGCGCATCTTCCCTGGAAGGCCTTCACCTACAAGGCAAGTGCTGCGTCTGCACCCCTCAGCGTGTGTGGACAGGGCCTAGCTGCCCCAGGTGCTTGGCTGCTGTCCTGCCCATAGGCTATGTCAAGAGGTCGCCTTTATGGGCCACCCATAACTGAGGACCGCAGCTCTCGCTGTCCTGGGAAGGGGAGCTTTGTTGAGTGAAAGGCTGTGCTCCGTCTCGGCAGCATTGTTAGAATAGGTGGACGTCGCCCGCAGCCTTCTGGGCAGCCTGCGGGGGCTCCGGGAGCAGGGTGGGTGGAGCTGGGTGACCAAGTCAGATCCCAAGAAGGGCCGGCTCCAGAGGGTGTGCTCCATGTCCAGCAGTCTTGGGTTCCAGGTGTGGAGAGCCAGGGGGTGGGGCACACAGGTTCCTGGGCTCTAGGCTGCAGCGTGGTTGCACTGGCTGGTTTCTGCCTCTGAGTGTGCCACAAGCGTCACAGTGACAGGCCCCTGAGTCTGCTGTGGGCACTTGACTGGCAGGGCACAAGAAGTGATGGGATTCCAGCCCTGGTGTCATCCTCTCCCCCGTCCGGCCCTACAGGCTTTCAACACCTTCATCGATGACGTCTTTGCCTTCATCATCACCATGCCCACGTCCCACCGGCTGGCCTGCTTCAGGGACGACGTGGTGTTCCTGGTGTACCTCTACCAGCGGTGGTGAGTGAGCCGGCACTGCAGGCCTCTCCTGGCTGGAGGCCCTTGTGCCTTTGCAGGAGGGGTTGCAGGTCATTTTCCTGCTCGCCTGTGCTAGGGCTCCAGTGCCAGTGATGGTCAAGGCCAGGGATCGCTCCCCCTCTTCATCTTGAGGGTGTAGCAGCCCTGGGTTCTGTCCTGAGTGTCTGTTTAGCACCCCTTGAAGCATCTTGTCCTGATTTGCATGTGAAGCCAAGCACAGCGATGTCGCCTCCCACCAGGGCTCATCCTGGTCCCGTGGCTGGGGTTGTAGCTCAGCGCTTGCCTAGCATGTGTGAGGCACTGGGTTTGATGCTCAGCACCACACAAAGAGAGAGAAATGAAGGTACTGTGTCCATCTACAATTTAAAAAAAAAACTTAAATTTAAAAAATTTTTTTTTTTTTTTTTTTAATGAAGTGTTTGATAGACAGTTAGAGAACAGGGGTCTCCAGCTTCGGGGAGGCTTTGGGCTGCTGGGCCATGTACCTGCAGGTAATGGGGCTTTGGCTCTCTTGAAGCACTCCTCCTGGGCACTGGCCACACACAGAAGCACCAGCCACCAGGGCCTAAGACTAAATCACACTGATGACCCAGTTGGCCCAGGACAACTTCTGGACACTGAGATGCAGATGCTCACCCCTGGCCCCCCCATCCTGGGCACCTGGCCTCTGTGCAGACGCTGCCCCTGCCCCTGCACCGCCCAGGATCTGGGGTTTCCTGGGGCAGCTTTGCCTCTGCAGAGGCTGTGCCGTGGACCTCCACAGAGATCAGTGACAACACAGGCTGTATCTTCCCCTCCCTGGGCACTGGGCAAGGAAGGGGCTTCTCGGGGACAGTTTGCTCTGCAGTGACGCTGCCAGGCTTCCCCAGCCCTCCAGGTTCCTGCTCCAGCCCCTCCTCAGGGTGTGCACGCCTGGGTGTCTGGGAGGGTGCAGCATGCAGCCCACCACCACCGAGCTGCCCTGCGGCTCCCTGTGGGCACCACCCACCACTGGTTCCTCACAGCTGGAGGTGTAGCGCTGTGAGCCCAGACGCAGACGCAGTGGGGACTTTCTCCTCCGCCAGCAGGGCCCTTGGGTGACTGCCGGGTCCACGTACACTGCCCCAGGAGCCGCTGACCCCTCCCCCTTTCCCTTGAGCCCTCAGGAAAAACCCGCAGACTGAGTTCAGTCAGTACCGAGCTCAGGGGAAGTGGGTCAGTTACAGCGGGAACGTGTGGTGGTGTTCACACTGCGTGTTAGGTCGCCAGCACTGTGTCCTCCCTGCCTGTCTTCACCCTAACCAGGACAGTGCTGTCAACGTGCCCAGGGTTTGGGATGAGAGGAAGTGACCACTTGCAGGGTGTGTAGAGCTGGACTGGAGCGCTCGCTGCTGGCCTTGTGCTGTATCTGTAGTTTCCACAGGTCACCACAGGGCGGTCTCTGGCCTGTCCTGCTCCAGGACTACCATCCTCTTCTGGTCAGCTGGGCTCTTTGGTGACATGGAAGTACTTCAGCGAAGGGTGGAGGCAGCCCGATGCCCAGGCAGTAGGCCCCTGGTGACTCTGCTTCCTGGCTGCCGAGGCAAGGCAGCTCGCTGGAGAGCAGTGCCAGAGGCCTGTGCTTTGAGGGCAGAGCAGTGCCTGGGCTCCCTGGCAAGTGCCCGCTCTCTGTTATTGCAGGCTTTATCCTGTGGATAAGAGCAGAATGAACGAGTTCGGAGAGTCCTATGAAGAGCAGCCCCAGCGGAAACCCCACGCAGACTGAGCCCCGGCCTGGGCCCTGAGGCTGCCACACGAGACAGGACGTGGCCACCAGTGGGTGTCCTGGAAGCTGGGACTTTCTAGATATGCCTTCTGCATTGCCAAATCCCTCTGAACGTCTCCAGCATCTTCTAAGCTCCACTTCCATCTGGAAGGGGCCAGAAGCACTAACTGCGTCCCCCCCCACAAGAACAGGTGCCACACACGGTCGCAGCAGCCAGCACTGGTGGCCACATGCAGCCGTCGGCACAGGAGAGTCCCCAGGCAGGGAGGGTAGCGATCCCGTCCCAGTTGTTTCTAAGTGCTCCTGTGTGAATTCACCTGCATCTGCGGACTCACTCCTCTGGACTCCGGACCAAACGGCTCCTTTTTCCCTTTTGTTTAAAATTTGATTGTTTAAAGCTTAATGTATGTATGTTTCTATTTTAAAATAAATTTCTCTGGCTGTGACGATTTTCTTGACCAGGATCAACATGGAAAGCATTTCAGATACTTAAGTTTGACTCTGTCTCAGAACTGACTCGAGGTAGATGTATTTATGCTTCGGAAGGAGGCAGCGCCTCCGGCAGCCTTGGACTCAGGAGTTTCGTAGGTGAGGGTCCTGCAGTCCGTCAAGAAATGTCCTGGCGGGTGTGCTTAAGCTGTGGGAGCTCAGCCGCAGCTCCATCCTGGACCGTGGCCTGCAGCTGTCCCTGTGGGCGAGCTAGCCAGCACTCACAGGCTCAGCCCCCCCCCCCCCCCCGAGGCCTGCTCTGAGTAGGGCAGGGGGTCCCCCTCACCCAGGCAAAGGTAGATGCTCACCAGGAATCCGCAGGTGGTGACTAGGTGTTGGAAACCTCCCCGTCTGGCTTGAAGGAAGTGCAGCTTGGTTTTCAGGGGTCTCTCTTCCTGTCAGTGCCAATGTGAATGCACAGTCTCTTAAATCAGCGCGCTCCCTGGGGAGCCGCCCCCTGGGGCTTTATGGGTGGCCCCAGCACAGCTGCACAAGGCACCTGGAGTTGGGGAATTGTGAGACCCAAGGTGGGTGGGAGGCAAGGGGAAGAGCCCCCTGGGAGAGGGCTGGGCAGGAGCCTGCACCACAGGCAGGCCAGAGCTCCTGTGGGGTGGTGGCACCAGGAGTGTGTAGGCAGCCACAGGGGCTCCAGCAGCCTCCACCACACACCCAGGCTCTGCCACCCCAGGGCCCCCTGGGGCAGAGGGCGTGCTTCCTAGGCCAGGGCGACCAGCACACAGTGGGGTGGGGGCATCAGGGTCACTGTGAGCAGAGGAGCCAGGCCTGAGGAGCACCATGCTGGTCGGCCATCACTGCCTGCCTGTGGCCAGCCCCCACACGAGTGGTGTGTGGACCTGCCTCTTGCCTCTGACCTCTGGTGCTCCCGGAAGCAGACAGGGTTGTCGGAGGCTGTCCCCATCTTGGCAAGGGCAGGACCACACCCCGACTTCAGCCCCATGCCAGGCTTAGTTGGCATCGCGGCAGGGCGGCTCTTTGCCATGTTGTCAGTCCTGCACTGCACCAAGAGCCCGTCCGGCCGCTCTCGAGGGGGCACTCCGGGCCCTGGGGTGTGGTGTGGGCAGGGGCTGGGGTGCCGCTTTCCCTCCTTCAAGCAGGTCTGTGTGGAATGGTTTAGAGAAGGGGACAGAGGTCCTTGGGCTCCAAGATGCGGCTTGCACGCTGCTGGCTTCCGCCTGTGTGCCGGAGCTGACTGTCCTTGGACAGTTAGTAATGATCATGGTTGTCACGAACACCCCGCTGGCACCTTGGAAGGCTGGTTCGAATCCCTCAGATATGATGTCTGACCCCTCTGCTGGAGTTTGGTGCCCTGTGCCCACATTTGGCTATTTCACCAGTTTCTGCACCGGCTGGGACATGTGCTGGGACTGGTGCTCTCAGGAAAGAAGCTCTCTGAACAGTCAGCCTTGGAGAGCATGGGCCCCTTGACAGCTGTGTCTGTAGATAGGCAGCCTCGTGGAGACGGACCAGGGCCACAGGGCAGGTGGGTTCTGAATGTTCATGGAACATGATGTTCTCTGACCACCCTTGCACTGTCTCGTAGCTGAGCTATCGGGGACACTTCGTATCTGAACCGTAACAGAGTCCCATTGAGCCTGTCAGGGACTCGCTCTGAGAAACATCATCAGGCCAGTGTCATGCAGACATCATGGAGTGCACCGACTAAGATGGCTATGGTGGCACAGGTGAGGTGATCCATGGACCACCAGTACAGTGGTGACCAAACCATGGTGGCGGCGGTCTGCATGACGATGTGATGTAAACAGAAGGCAGGCGGGGATGGGCCAGAGCAGTGTGCTCTAAACCTTGAGCAGCTTGTCAAGTAAGACAAAGCAGGGACCTCCGTCATCATGCCAACATTGGAAATGAGAGGGGATCATCAACACACCCAACCATGCAACGGGGTGACCCTGGAACATCCTAATTCATGTTCCACACCAGAGAGGTCTGGTGTGAGGTCTGGAGGGTACACGGACACATCCGAGATGCCCCCACACGCCTCGCCCGGCACAGGGACTGAGCCTCAGAACCAGGGGTGCAGCTCCATCTGGACCTGTCCACAGACTGCCTCGTGATGCTGGCCAGAGCACTGAGAGTCACACTCCTGTTCCCCGCATGGCAGCCAAGCCAAGCTGAGGGTGGGTTCCGCTCTGAGCAGACAGCAGGCTCCCTGTGCAGCCAGCCACCAGGCCAGGAGGGGCAGAGCACAGCACCACGCTGCCCTGCGAGCTGGGTCAGAGCTGAGCACAAACAGTGCCACGGTGTCTGTGTTGCACGAGCGTCCTCACAGTGCAGATTCCAAGTCTAGACCCTGGAAAGAAAGATCTCCACTTTAAAACCTCAGCAAGAAGCAAAACAGACCTTTCTGTGACCGCTGTTGCTGAGATGGCTCTGGGACCTGGCGTGATGAGCCTGTTGCTGGTCTGCTCTGGGACGTGGTGTGATGGTCGCTGTTGCTGAGATGCTCTGGGACCTGGTGTGATGACCACTGTTGCTGAGATGCTCTGGGACGTGGTGTGATGGCCGCTGTTGCTGAGATGCTCTGGGACGTGGTGTGACGGCCGCTGTTGCTGGTCTGCTCTGGGACGTGGTGTGATGACCATTGTTGATGAGCTGCTCTGGGACGTGGTGTGATGGCCGCTGTTGCTGGTCTGCTCTGGGACGTGGTGTGATGGCCCCTGTTGCTGAGCTGCTCTGGGACCTGGTGTGATGGCCGCTGTTGCTGGTCTGCTCTGGGACATGGTGTGATGGCCCCTGTTGCTGAGCTCCTGGGGACGTGGTGTGATGGCCCCTGTGGCTGAGCTCCTGGGGACGTGGTGTGATGGCCCCTGTGGCTGAGCTCCTGGGGACGTGGTGTGATGGCCCCTGTGGCTGAGCTCCTGGGGACGTGGTGTGATGGCCCCTGTGGCTGAGCTCCTGGGGACGTGGTGTGATGGCCCCTGTGGCTGAGCTCCTGGGGACGTGGTGTGATGGCCCCTGTGGCTGAGCTCCTGGGGACGTGGTGTGATGGCCCCTGTGGCTGAGCTCCTGGGGACGTGGTGTGATGGCCCCTGTGGCTGAGCTCCTGGGGACGTGGTGTGATGGCCCCTGTGGCTGAGCTCCTGGGGACGTGGTGTGATGGCCGCTGTGGCTGAGCTCCTGGGGACGTGGTGTGATGGCCGCTGTGGCTGAGCTCCTGGGGACGTGGTGTGATGGCCGCTGTGGCTGAGCTGCTGGGGACGTGGTGTGATGGCCGCTGTGGCTGAGCTGCTGGGGACGTGGTGTGATGGCCGCTGTGGCTGAGCTGCTGGGGACGTGGTGTGATGGCCGCTGTGGCTGAGCTCCTGGGGACGTGGTGTGATGGCCGCTGTGGCTGAGCTGCTGGGGACGTGGTGTGATGGCCGCTGTGGCTGAGCTGCTGGGGACGTGGTGTGATGGCCCTGTGGCTGAGCTGCTGGGGACGTGGTGTGATGGCCCTGTGGCTGAGCTGCTGGGGACGTGGTGTGATGGCCCTGTGGCTGAGCTGCTGGGGACGTGGTGTGATGGCCCTGTGGCTGAGCTGCTGGGGACGTGGTGTGATGGCCCTGTGGCTGAGCTGCTGGGGACGTGGAAAGCGTCCCTCCTCTGTGTTCTTCAGTCTCTCCAATCTCACGGGCCTGTTGGGGGCAGGCCCCTCCAGCAACACGTCTCCTTTCTGCAGGTCCTTCCCCTCTGCTTTGTCTCCCCTTCCTCCCAGGTTTTTCTCTTTTTTTCTTTTCTTTCTTTTTGGCTCTTTTTACTTTTCTTTTTTCTCTTTTTATTTTTATTCCTTCTCCCAATTCCATTTAGTATAATGTCATTAATACCAACACCTCGTCTTCTCAGCCCATTCTGTACTCCACCTTGTCGTTGGTGGGCGAGTGGCAGCAGGCATTAGTGATGGCTTCTGAGGAGGTGTGCATCTGTTTTGCTCTCACGCGACCACTGTTCGCTGCCACTCTCCTCTCAGAGCGGCACAGTGCTGGAACTTAGCACTTTGATTGGGCTAATCAGATGTGTTGAAGCTGATACACCCCAGCTCCAGGCTCAGTGAAAGACCCTCGCATAAAAAAGAAAGGACTCCACCATGCAGATGTGAAAATATAGGACCTCAGAAAACACAAGGAGACAGGCCAGTAGCTGCCTCCCAGAGTTCACCACCCCTGGGAACTGAATCCATAATATCAGAGTGGATGAAATCCCAAGACCCAAAGAGTTGACTGTGACATGATTAATTAATTAAAGGAAGATCTAAAAAATGGACTACGGCAGAAAATGAAGATTATGAAACAGCATCTCAATAAGGAGGCGCTCTGAAAAAGAACCCCACAGAAAGCTCAGAAATGAAAGACTCAATAAGTCAAATAAAATGTTCAGTTTGAAAGTCTCTCCAATAGATCAGGTGAGGCAGAAATCAGAACCCCAGAACGTGAAGACACGGTGACAGCCTTGGATATCAGACAATACTAAATAAAAGATTGTAGACTGGGAGCAGAATATGCAAGAATCCAGACAACATTAAGAGACCAAATTTGAGATTCATTGGCATTGAGGAAAGAATAGAGACAGAGGCCATTGGCACTGATGACCTGTTCAGTGGAAACGACAGCAGAAAATATTCCAAATCTTGGAAATAAATGAGCATCCAGATACCAGGGACATTTAGAACCCCAAATAGACAACACAAAAAAGGGCCTTTCCACAGCTGCTGTCCCCTTACAGGGGTCCCAACAAGTAGCTTCCAGGGGCAGTGGGACCTCAACTGGGCAGGTTCTTGGCTTGTACCAAGAAAAAATTTCAGAACATGTTGAAAACAAGGCACAAGGAAGGATTCATTAAAGGGCAGCCGTGCTAGGTATACAAACCTGGAGGCAGGGCACCCGCCAGCCCGGAGAGCGGTGCCGCCAGGGTGCGCGCTCACTGCTCGCAGGTAGGGCCTTCC